ATTATCAGGGGGAAAAAATCCTATTATTTCCTCTCTATTAAGGAGTAACATCTTCCCATAATTACAGGAAAGCTATGCATTAAGTTGCCTGCTCAGGAAGTACCATTTCCTAATAAGATGAAAACCTAATTCACTCTCACCAAGTCAGAAATAAAGACTAAGTTCTCATCTCCTACTACTCTCCTTCATCTGTAGTTCTGCAGTTTTTTTTTTTTTCCTTTTTGTCTTTTTTCGTGACCGGCAACGGATCGCAACCCTCAGCGTCGCGCCCTACCGGACCAGGACCGGCAACGGGATTGCAACCCTCAGTGTTGCGCCCGCACCTCGCTCAGCCAGTGAGCGGCTGGTCTGTATGTGGGATCCGAACCCTCGGCGGGAGCGCCGCCACACTCCCAAGCAGCGCACTGTAGCAGTGTGCCACCGGGCCGGCCCTAGTTCTGCAGTTTTAACTCCCTCAATAAGAGGCACTAAATGATGATACATTAATTTAAAAAATGCTCCTCCAGGGTCACTCTCATCTCAAAGTCCCCTTCCAGCTAAGACAGTCAGATTCAGTTACTTTACCTGAAAAGAGGCAAAGGTAGGAGAAAAAGTAATTGTTATGTGTATAGACATCTACCATGATAGGAAAGCAGTCTCACCTACTATTAGGACAAGATGTTGAACATCTACTGTGGTTATTAAACACTTGCATGTCACCTTTTTGTATCAATGATTATACAACAGATGGCACTTACCTGGCCGACACAATGAACCATGCCTCTCCCTCCCACTACAAGTGCGTCTTACTCCTCTCCTTTAAGTGTCTCCTTTAAGATCTTTCTGTGAAAGAGCCTATCAGTTACAGACTGACAGACTCCAAAACAAAATTACCATTGGACCTATATGGTCTTCCTTTACAGACTTTTACAGTGCTACATTTCTGTGTTATTCACAATTTTAAAGAATCATGGAAATTGGAAGAGACTGAGAAATCTTCTAGTCCAAATCCTCATTTTCCAGATGAGCACACCAATGATTTGTTCAGGGTTTCATAATAGCACATGTGATTCTACAAATATTACAGATGAAAAGCATTATGACCTTATCTTAGTTATCAACTTTCCCTTCCCTTCTTACTAGAAATATAACACTTGACTGGAGAGTTATTTTGGCATCAACACTGAAGATAAGAAAACACTACTTGTTTTTAAAATCCTTATAACACAGTTCTGATGAAGATGGCGGAATAGATGGTCCCTAGCATCACTCTCTCCCACAAATCAACCAATTTACAACTATAAAAATGTAACAGCAGCCAAGCTGGGGCTGCTGGAGCTCAGGGGAAGAGGAGGAGAGACCTATGGAGCTCATGAAGGGGGAGAGCCACAATGAGAGAAAGAAAAAACTGCTCAGAGCATTTCGGGCCACAGCCACTTTAAGGCTAGAGATGCTGAGCACATGGATCAGGAACTGGCAGAAGCCACAGCTGTGCCCTTCCAATGGAGTTTCTTGGAGGCAGCAGGGGAGAAGAGGGCCTCGGTGGCCCCAGGAAGCAAGACCACTCATAGGGTTCCCATGGACCCATGCAGGAGCGAGGAGCAAGAACAGCTGAAAAAAGGGAGCCATTCAGAGGCCAACAAGTTATCGCAAGGGACCAGCGCAGGGCCCATCCCATGGGAAGTGTTTGGAACATGGGCAGTGGGGGAGACAGGCACACCGGGAGAACACTGGAACACAGCAAGGACAGCCAATCCGCCTCCCAATCAGTGCAGGACTACTCAGAGGAGACTGGCCAGGAATGCAGAATCGCATGGGGTGCAGTTTGATGAGAAGATTCAGGCCCAGGTCAGAGTTTCTATACAACCCAGGTGCACCCAGTCTCTGGAGAGCCAGAAGTACCTATAAGGTCAACCATTAAACCCTGAGCTGCACAAAACGTCTTCTCTAGGGAAACAGCAGCAAAGCAGCAATTTAGCTCAACAACACAGCTCACGTACTGGTTCCCACAAGAAGTTCCACAGTTTCAGAAGTAAACAAAGGACAAAAAATTGGTTCCTGCCCAGGCCACAACCATGCATACTACCAGTGCCTCAGGGCCCCACCCAGGGATCCAGGGCATGGAGCCAGGGACTAGACACCCCCCACAACCAAGCACACCACCAGCACCAAGTAGCATGCCAAAAACATCATCTCCATGTGGGTGACCCACAACAGTAACCACGGCTGCCACGAAAGAGGCTAGACGTCACAACCACCACACAGATGGTCCGCCAGCCACTGGAGTGCATTGACACGAGGAGAGTCACCAGCAGAGACCAAAGAAAAGAATAGGATGTCTCTCTCCACAAAGCCCATTCCAGAGTGACAGAAGAAGCATCTGCTCTACAATACTAGGGGACCTGAACACACCTTTCAGCATTGGACAGATCACGTAGTCAACAAATCAACAGAGTGACCATTACTCTTTCAGAGGGAGAGAAGAAATCTAGAGTTATCAGTGGTGGGAGGGGGGAGGGGGAGGGAGTGGGGTACAGGGAGAGATTGGACAAGGGGCATAAAGAATAAGTACAATTTATAACAATATACATACTAGGAATATTGATTGGATCAACATATGTCAACACTGAATCCCCAAAATATATATATAACCAATTATGATTTAATAAAAAAATAAAAATAAAATACTTATATAGACCAAAGACACAATCCATTCTATCCTTCTCCACGATTCATGAAGAGTCAAAATAATTGCTTTTCAAATATTTTCCCTAAAACAAGAATAGCATTTATTTCAAATACCATTAGTACCAGAAGGCTGAACATGAAGACCAAACACTACTCAAATTTGAGACACACAAGTCCTAGCCTTTTATGATCAGGAATACTCTCACCAGAGGACCTTGAAACCCTCAGAGTTACACAAAGTAGCAAGAATTTTGAGGAGAGAGAATAAAAAAGTCAGACCAGGTCTGGAAGAGATTCAAGGGGATCCACAGCTTAGTGTTAAGCTCAGAACTAAATTGGTTTCTTGCCCGAAAGGGTAAGAGGCCTTCCTCCTACGCTGATGGGAAGGAGGGCCTGGGGAAGAGGTGGTGGTTACACTGCAATCTCTCTCCACTGGGAATAATTACTTTTCTCACATATCTCACACAGACAGGAGTTAGGAGTCAAATACCACAGGAACATCATCTTTTATAGAATCTAGCCTTTCCTCGCTCTCCCCAATCTCTGTCCCCCCAAAAAACACACACAAATAAAACAAAAATCAAAAACCAAAAAAAGTTCATCCAAATTTGGTTACTTTCAAACTTTCCAGCTCTTTCTCTGCTATCTGAACTTAGTTCTTGTGCTTTCATATGCCTTTTCTAGGACCCAAATCACTCTCTTTGACCAAACTACTCATGTAGTCTCTAGAAATACTTGTAGACTCCCTCCACCCTCTGACCTAGAGTACAGGGAAAGAGAGCAAGCTCTGGGGCCAGAGATTTCTGGGTCTAAATGCTATCTCTGTCCCTCACTGTTAAGTGGCCTCAGACAAGCTACTTTATCTCTTTGAGCCCTGGTTTCCACATCTATACATAACCACAATATTACCTACCAGGCAGGATTGTTGAATGAATTACAGGGTATACTATACAATGACTCTAGTGTGGTATGCATTAGACAAATGTTAATAATTACTATTATAACTCCAATCTGGCATCTCAAAACACATGTGTACATTTGGAAACACTACCCTTGGTGTCAGATCTAGGGGCACTGTCCTAGGAGACATCAGAGTCCATGCTGGAATCCATCACTCTAGATGTTTTCTCAGAGGTTTATCCTTCAGGCTGGGCTCTGACACCAAACTGCTCACTCCACCTTGAAACTTTTGATCCTTCCAACCTGTTCACTCAAAATCATCACTCAAAATACACTCTTGATGCTTTGTAAGAGTGACTTCCAAACCAGGCTGACCATTATCAAATAGGAAACTTCCAAAGAGTACAACTTTCATTGGGGGGGGGGGGGGGGGGGGCAGAAATTTGTGTTTAGTAAGATTCCTGATATGATTCTAATGGTCTATGAGGTTTTGAACTACTGTTTTGTATGATCTCATATCTTCCCCCTCTGCAGAAAAACATCTGCAAACTAGAAATTACCTGTTCAGCTTCTAATTAGCAGCACCTGCTCTCTGTGAGCCATAATTCCTTCCTCTGCTTCCTTTGAGTGGTAGTCAATCCCATCTAATAGTCCCACCAAAAACAAGCAATACACACCCAAGACACAGGCACCAAAGCCTTCAGATCTGTGCAGAAAACCTGCTATAAACAGCTTCATTTCTCATTACTAATCCATCTCATATGGGGATTTCCAGAGGCAGAAAGGCTCCCTAGATGCCAAGAGCTATATTTTCTTGTGGATCATTGAAACCTAATTATTAACAGGCCAGTAAGCCCCACTACCAGACTTTCATACAATCAACATATCATACAGATAGTCTTGGATTACAGGTCATGGAGAACAACTAAAACACAGAAAGGCAAATTCATTTTGTTGCCACTGCTCTCCCATATGCCACAATATTTGAGCTTCCCTGGAAAATACAAATCTTACACAAGGCACTGTTCACATAAGATGATGATTTTAGCACCTCAGAACCATGAGATGAGATGCAAAATGTATGTGATCAGTCTGCCTGTTCCATTTGTCCTAATTATGAAGATCTCTCCCCAGCAGGCCAGGCCATGCTGACAATTATCAAGACTTCAGTCTGCCCTGAACACCAGTAGCACCAGCATCAAGCTTTGTTGAATACAGCATATACTATTGAAAGGGTACCATACTGAAGTTTCAAATCCTAATAAAAAACACTGAGATTGGACTTTATGTTCTTTTAGAAGCACACAGTTTGGTGGGGCAGGCACTCCAGCATCCTGCCAAGGATACCACTTGTTAGGAAGAACCACAGAGGAGCATGCACCTAAGGAAAGGATGCTACAGCCATAGAGAAGAATAAAGCCAAGCTTCCTCACCTGTCTGACTCCCTTCGGCATTTTCTTCCTCTTCCCGAGGTGCTGGCAGAGATTGCGGTCATTTTCTCGATCTGAGCTGTAGTGATGTGGGTGGCTGAGTCTACTCTTCTTTGAATGAAAGGACAAGCCATTGGTAAGTGCTTCTCGTTTTTTCTTAGTCAGGGGGGTCTGGCGTTTCTCCACACGTTCCTGAGGCTTAAGTGCGACATCTTTCTGTAGAAAAGAAGAGAAGGAAAGGGACGTGGTGGTTACATATGGATCTAGGGTCACACCCAAAATATAGTCTAAATAGAAATGGGGAAGGGGGGCCGGCCCGGTGGCGCACTGCTGCAGTGCGCCGCTTGGGAGCACGGCAGCGCTCCCGCCAAGGGTTCGGATCCCACATACAGACCGGTTCCGCTCACTGGCTGAGCGAGGGGCGGGAGCAGCACCGAGGGTTGCGATTCCATTGCCGGTCCCAGTCCGGTACGGGCGCAACACTGAGGGTTGCGGTCCGTTGCCAGACACGAAAAAAGACAAAAAGGAAAAAAAAAAAAAAAAAAAGAAATGGGGAAGGGGATAGGAAAATGGGTTATGAGAATACCTAAAACTAAGAAACATGACTCACAGTTTTTCCAAATCCCTAATGCTACCACAAATATATATTTTCTATTCTTGTGGGGCAAAAAACTCAACAAAGCACAAAGTATCTGTCCATTAAAAGTAATTGCACTGCTGCCTGGGATAGTAGCTTTCTGTTTGAGTCAGTGCTGGGTCCAGCACACAACAACATCCCCCCAGGAAGCTAAATACACTCACTTCCCAAGTTGGTACATCAATTATGTTTCGGAAAAAGAGTATTAAGTGCATGCTCAATTCAAAAAAATAGCACAAGATTGAATACACCAGGGGCAGCAAGAAACTGTCAATTCATATGATTAAAATGTTTCCTTAACGCATTATATTTTTACCACATGTTCCTCTGAGCATCCTTAATTTCGATCTTCTTTGTAAAATGCAACAATATTATCACCAAGATCAACAGCAACTTTTCGTTTATTCCTGTGTGTGGTGGGGATGGGGGTAGATGGTAAGAGATGGGTAATCAATGTCCCGGAATGGGGAGCTACATCAGTGGAAACTATAGCAAGTATTTCAGGCCACGGGACCTGGGAGAGTTCTGTGCCCGCAGACAGGTCAGAACACACTGAGATTTAAAAAGGCTTGGGTTCAGTTTGGACACAAACATTATTCATTAGGAGACTTGGAGTAAGTCACTGTAACTCTGAGGCCATGTGCAAAATGGGCTCACAAAACATCAAATGACCTAATACGTGCAAATGTCCTATGCACCCTGAGAAAGGTTGTGCAAACTAAGCAGTAAAATGAAAACAATTTGGCACTCAATTATTTGTAATTGAGTGGATATGATTCTCTTTATACAGAATATGCTCCTTCATAGATCCTCACCCCCACAGTTTCTCAGTTTCTATAATTTTAAATCTACATTTAAATAAAAAAAAAAAAGAGACCAAAATAAAAAGTCCCTTTTACACATTTCTTCTCAAAACTCCACTCTCCTTCCTCCCTTTCAAACCTAATATTCTCATGGTAGTTATCTATTCTGCTGCTTCCCAAAATCCCAGTAGTCCCCATTTGACATGGATGGTGCTCCTCAACTTATTTCCCCAAATCAGCCATGCCCATTATTATGGGCTGAATGTTTGTGTCCCCACGAAATGTGTATGTTGAAATCCTAACCCCCATGGTGATGATATTAGGAAGTGGGGCCTTTGAGAGGTGATTAGATCATGAGAGTAGAGCCCTTATGAATGGGATCAGTTCCTTTGTAAAAAGACCTAAGAGAGCTTTTTGCCCCTTCCACCATGTGAGGACATAGCTAGAAGGCACTGTCTAGAAGGTATGTGCCCTCACCAGATACCACATGTGCAGGTGCCCTGATCTTAGATTTCCCAGCCTGCAGAACTGTAAGAAATAAATGTTTCTTGTTTGTAAGCTAAATAAACTGTTGTAAACTGGCATAAATACCCAATTTATGGTATTTTGTTACAGCACCCTGGACAAACTAAGACAGGCCTTTATACTGTTCTGCCTCAGCCTCAACAATCTCCCTTTCTAGTTCAAGGACTCTTAGCAGTGGAGGCTGCTCAGGGAGACCTTTCTTGTAATGCAAAGTTCTCTGATGTCAGGCCTTCACTCATTCAACAAATGGTTTTTGTGCACCATTATATGCCAAGTACAACCTTAGCACTGACCTGTATAAATTCTGGGAAGACAATGGTGTGGGGAAAAAAATCACCACCTCATAGAGCCCAGAATTTAGGGAACAAACACTAATCACATCACACAAATATAGAATTGCAAACTGAATTAACTGCTGTAAAGGAAAGATAAAGAGTGTTAAAACTGAGAGAAATGGTCTAGTACAGAGGAGAGGGCTGGGGCTGACAGACAACTGTCATTTGACCTAGATCTGAAAGGCTGAGCAGAAAGAACAGCTTGTGCAAAGACCTCTAAGCAGCTGGTAGTATAATCCCTTAAAAGAATGTGAAAGATGTCAGGGAATAAGTAGTTCATCTCAGTAACCCCAGTGCTTCACATAAATGCTCTATATAAACCAGGCAAATAGTAGGTGGTTAAGATACACTTGCTAAATACATAAATAAATGATAGAACTAGTTGAAACATCCAAAACTATAAAGCACAACAGTGACTTAAAAACATCCTAAGCTACCTCTAACATACAGTGAAGCAAGCTAGAAAAGCTGATAGAAGCAAGAAACCAAGCAACCTAACAGGCATTGCAAGGATAAAGGCCTTACCCTTGGAGCAAGAAGATATCAGTCTTGTAAGGCAAATGAGTGGCACTGGGTCTAACTTATTTCTAGTTGCTGCCATTGTAGATGATTTACCCTCTGCAATTTGAGAGGTAATGGGAATGGGGTGAGAAGTGTTTTAGGGGATAAGCTGAGATTGAAGCAAATGTACATGGCCATTCTTTACACAGTCCCAGACCTGGCACACTGTGCCTAACACATGGTGTTTAATAAGTGTCTGCTGAATTGAACTCCTTTGTCCAGTGTCCACTACCTCAGTCAGCGATGTCAGACATCTGCTCAACTCAGAATGCTCTGTGGTTAGTCTCACGTTTAACCAAAATAGTCAGCTATCATGAAAAGACACTCACGGAAAATGGCAACACTAGCAGAAGAAGCCAGGTGAGTTCTGCTGTGGGCTGCTTCTACATAATATGATTAAATTGTACCATTTCTAAGGTAATATAAAAACTCCCCACAGGGTAAAAAATGCCTTTCTTTTGTCACACAACCCACCTACTGCCCTGCATTATGTGCATGTAGAGTATCAATTTAATAAACAAATGATATTTAATAATGTATCAACTGTGCTTTTTTAAAAATTATGCCATTCTCTTTAGAGACCAAATCTTCTTTCACACTGAAGGTGCCTCCAAAGTACATAGAAAATTATGGGCAATTCCATACAAACGTGAATTAATATTTATGAGAGTATGTTATAATTTTTTCCAAATCCATTTTATTTTCATGTAGTATATTAATCAAGGCATTCTCACTGCACTGCAGAATAGCTACACAGGGCAAATGGACCCCATGCCATGACACTAGCTTGTAAGAGAACTGCCAAAGTCTTAGCAGCAGCAGTACAATCATCCTAGCTCCAATTAATACTGAGATTTTCCACTCTGGAGGGTGTGTATGTGCTGGGGGATGGGTGGGGAAGAAAATCAAAGTGAGTGGAGAGGTGGCTGCTTAGGAGGGAAGAGGAAATAAGAGTCTTTATAAAGTTTTTATTATGTAAGAGGTTTATATTTTCAAAGACTAGAGATTATTTTTTCAAAGATATATCTTTACAATTACTATATAGACCCTTTGATACAAATCCTGAATAAACCAGGTCACTGTTTGTTTATTCCCTCTATCAACACATTTATTGACTGCTTACTATACAGAAAGTAAAATAATCATTTAACTTTTCGTTAACTATCTTGGGGGGGAAATGACAAACACTGTTTACTATAAGCAATAAGAATCAAAGACAAATAGATTGATTATAAACTAATTACCTTATCGACATTCAGAAGTATACCATGTACATAATTATATACGTGTGTATGTGTGTGTCACACCCACTAACACACTACCAACCAACCAGTGGCAACTAATTTAAGAATTTCCTTGAAGAAACTTGGGCAGTCTCTAGTATCCCTACAATACAGGGAGAAAAAAAATTATCTGGTTTATAAAATAACTTTTTGGTATCAATGAAAAGCAATTTTCAAAGGCCTGTTTTTTCACTAGTATACCATGATCTAGGCTAGAGATTCCGAAGGGAGTCTATCAGAACTACCTGCAGAGCTTTTAGAAAAAAAGATGACTATATTCCATATTCTATAAAGGAATCATTTTAGCAGATGAATGAAGAGTGACAGAATATGCCACCCTAAAATATGCCACTTTGGCATAAAGATTATTTTAAGCTAAAGGCACTTGAAAAACATCAGATACAAAAGGGACACTCTACTCTCCCTGTATCAGGAGAAAGTATCAGGAGAAAAGAAACATTATCACCAAAGAGATCCAGAGATGAGAGAAAGCTCCCATGTGGAAGATACTCTCCCTGTAACAAGAGAGAAGCAACTTTCTTATTACCAGAGATGGAGAATGAAGGCCAAGAAAAATGTGTACAAAGTGATTTTGTGAAAATTACTTTTATCTTCCTTGAGCCTGCCCATAAATTTTAGTTACTCTTCTACAACGGCCACTCTGTTCAACCTACTAAATAAGTATTTAGGTGTTGCCACTTCTTTGGTTCTTCATTTACCTATGGGGCTCCCACATACATGGAAAAACCTGTATGCTCTTCTCCTGTTAATCTATCTTACGTCAATTTAATTCTCAGGCCCAGCCAGAGACCCCGACAGGGTAGAGATAAAAATTTGACCCCCTGCAGAAGCACTGGGAAAGAGAGGGTAGGAGGGCAGAAGGATAAGGAAGACATCTGGAAAAAAATACTTTAATGTATTCACTGGACAGTCACAGAAGAGACAGAAAAGAAAGGAAGATAGGCAGCCAGTCACCAACAGAAGACTGGCTACAAGGTAAATGATTTAGACATATTTGCTGGCAATAGAGGAGGTAGATGTACAAGCCATGTACAACAGATGGGAACAGGTTTCGTGAATGGCTGAAATTACATGATTTTTAGGTCACCGGTGATGGAC